ACAATTCAATTGACCAGATTGAAAAGTAAATTAAGTTCGGAATTAAAAAATCATCATAATTTATTTTATATTTTAATATTGGCACATCCAACTTATCTCTTCATTTCATAATATCTCAGAGTAGCGAGAAAGATAAATTAAACTACTCAGACTTTATGAGAAAGACACAACAAAACACAAATTTCATATATAAAAGAAATTTCATACAATAATAATAAAAAAACAACACTTATTTGAAACTCTTTCTCAAAGCAAATCTCTTATAGCCTCTATTAGAAGATGTAGGAAGAAGCAATCTCTCACCTTTCTCCCTCTCTAACACTCTTAGAGAAGAATTCACACTTAAACTCACCAGGGGGGGGGGGGGGGGGGGGGAGAGGATCTTTTCTGATCAAGTTTCACTCTAAATAAAGCATAATGTCGGTTTTTCAATAGGTGCATCCAAAAACTTTTCACAAAGCATTCAAATTCGTCGAATTTTCTAGAAACATGTCTCGCACCAACTTTGGCACCGTCGACGCTCATTCTGGCGTCGTCGGCACCGTGGCCCATGAACTCTCTGTTTAAATGGCGCCATCGGTGTTGAGGATAGTCCGGCTTCTATTTTGTAGGTCTGCGCCGTCGGCGTCCATCCTAGCATCGTCGGCGCTGAGTATTTCTTCAAAAACGTCATTTTGACTCCAAATTTCATCATTTTTGCTTCATTTTTATTTCAAGTCCTAAAAATCAACAACCTTCAATAAAACATCTATCACTACACCTAACGAAGCCTAAAATATAAGTCAAAATATGCATATGTTTTTGGTGTATCATGTATCTACACTGAAATTAGCGTATATATGTGCGACCAAAATTCTCAAAATGGCTTAATTAGCCTCTCTAACCTTATTGTAGCTACACCTAACGAAGCCTAAAATATACAAACATCTATCTTAACACACACAAAAGTAACTTTTAAGCAAATGCAGTGTAAAAACACACAAAATGTAATCAAATTAAAGGATAGCATTTGGGTTGCCACCCAAGGTAGTATTTGGGTTAACATCCTCAGTCAGACTATACTAAACTAATTTAAGCCTAAAAGGGTTCTCCATGATTAAATTTCTTTCTCAGTAATCCTTGATCAATCTTCTTATGTTTTAGATATCCAAAAGAATTTCTTAAATTATCAACTATCTTTCCTAATCTAGGATCTTCCTTAAAAATATGTGTTATGTTTAAACTTCTCAGTACTTTCTCAATCTCACTCTTGAAATAATCCTCCAAAGGGTATATCGAGGTTCAAATCAAATGATATATCATAAAGCATATTTCATAATCCAAAGCTCTCAACAACTCTTCTTCTTGTAACTCACCCAATTTAGCAAACTTTGTGAGAGACATAACAAATGATTCTCCTAGAAACTCACTCTCTTTACTCATGAGACATTTCTAGTCTTATCAATGGGGCTCCTTATACAGGTGTTCCAATAGGCTTGACATGTTTGATGGTGGCCACAAGCTCAATTATCTCTCTTACAACTCTAGGGTTTATCGCAAAAAGGAGAATATTCTTCCTTAATAATTTTCCCACAAAATTCATCCAGCATAACTTGCTCTTCTGGGTATAATTCTATAGATTAAAAAACTTGGCTATAACTATTTGACCGCTACTTACTCTAACGGTATACCTAGTGATTTATGGTTTAAATATTATAATTTTAAAAATATATTTTATAACTTTAATAACTTAATTTTCCACAAGTCATCGCTACTCACCAGATATAAACGCAAGTGCATGTAACGTTCAAATAATATAGGGCTTTCTTTAAACCTTTAAACCCAAAGTACCGATCCCACAGAGAAGCGAGGTAAGAAATCTCTTAGGCTATGTTTTTGTCTGCTACTATTTGGTCTTAGTTTGGAATGTCAAATAAGAATGTTTTTTTCTAATAACTACCCCTAAATACAAATTTAAATCTAAAGATAAACCTAACTAGATAAGTTGGATTGGTAAATTTTGAGATGTAAAAACTACACTTTTCTTGTGATGTCCTAAAAAATGTGTAGGAATGAGATGCATATAATCTAATGTAGCCAGTGACAATAGGAGCATAAATCTAAGTTAACCTCATCTGAGTGTATAACGTAGCTTAGTTAACCAAGGGTTGATTGCTTAAAATAACTAGATTTTCACGATAAAACTTCTAGTCTGTCACTTTAGAGTATCCTTCTCCTGATAGCCCTCTAATTGGCTCAATCTTAGATTTAAGTTGTGAAGCCTTAGATTAAATTTGTAGGAATCTAGTCTATCACCCTAGAAACACCAAATTACACCCAATCAATGAATATCTCCTTAACATTGCATTGAATCTTTGGACTACTATTCCTTCACCCATAAATTCAATGTGGTTCCTTTTAGTTGTTATAGCCATATCACTCCCGAATCTCATAGTTTATAATAAATTTTAACATACCAATTGACCAGATTGAATATGTAAATAAAGCACAAAGTAAGAACCATCATTTTGATATGAAAAACCTATTCTAACATGCATCATAACATCCTAAACATTCACCCAATTAATTGCAAAAGAAAAGTGTAGGAATTCTTCTTCACAAAGCATTTGTCACACACAATAAAAAAATTCATATCAAATAAAATCCCTAAACAAGTGTTTATAACAAGTACATAACCACAATACTTAGTTGTTTTCCCCTGAAAGAAAGATAAAAATCCCTCCAACAAAGTCACATGCTGATCCATGCAATACTAATACAATCCCTTACAATATATCTCCCAATAGCCCCTCTCCAATATCTTCAAAAAAGGTAGAAATCTACATTTTCTACTCCTATCTGTGACATTTTGGCTTTCTTGAAAAATTCTAGGGGGGGATATGTTGAAAATTCCCCTTAATATATCCCTTAAAATCCCCCAAGAGTCACTTTATACGTCTCTTCAAAATTCGTCCAAATACATTGTATTTTTTAAAAAAACCTATTCTGGTGCCTGTACGCCATTCTTCTAGAAGCCTAAAATGATCACATGGTGCCTAAACACCAGTTGTGTCGCAATGGCACTAGGTTCTCTGTTTCCACGTACAGGGTCTAGCGCTTAAGCATCAGAAGCAACGCTTAAGTGTCAGTTCACTTTATGATCCTTTGCTCCATTTACCCCGTTTTATCCCACTTTCACTCCTTTTCCTCGAAAACTACATCTCTTGTACCTGAAACCAAAAACACCCAAAATATATTCCATTAAAGTGCTATATCATTAAAAATAAACATAAAAAATATATAAAAAAGTAGTACATTTTTAAGCTTGTCACTATTCATCTATACCATGACCTTGATAATCTTTAAGGTTTTGGGAAAATTTTATAGATTTTAAGACATCAAATGTCTCCTCTTTATAATTCACTCTCATGATAAGTTCCCTCTTATGTACAACAATCATTGCTTACCCAGTGGTTAAAATGGGTCCACCACGTATAATGGAGATGTCCTTATCTTAATCTTTATCCAAGCTAATAAAATCGGTATGGAAGATGAACTTATCAACTTTGAGCAGAACATCCTCGATTTTCCCCCAAGTATAAGTCAAAGAGCGGTCAACTAGCTGCAGAGCCATGGTGATGGGTATTTAGCCATTGTACCTTTCCAAAAATTGGGTATTGCATTATCTCTTCCACTGCCAAAGCATCATTTAACTCTTCATCTTGCAAAAGTTCTCCCAAAATGAAGCATAGCAACAAAAAAAATATAGTAAACTTGAATGCTATTCTTTCTCGAATCATAATGACCCAACTCTCAGTCTCAACATCATTAATCACTATCAATAATAATTGATAAATCTGGGAAATAAAAATATCCATTTTATAAGCCATTAATAAAAAGACAATAAGGTCATTAATCTCAAATTATCTGACAAAATTTTTCTCCCTTAAGTTGACTGCTACTTGAGCACTATAATACTTATCAATTGGTATGGTTAGATCATACAAAAGTATATAGAGCAAAATAATTCAAATAAGCTATTTCTAAAGAAATAATGAGAGAAATTGAATCATCTTTAAATCGACTTTTAGGTATGATTGAATTATTTTCAAACTATGATTAAAAATATTGAACCATTTTTAAAGCATGTTTGAACCTTGATCAAATGAATATCAAACCATATTTGATTTACAATTGATCAATCTTTAAGTGATGATTGAATCACAATTAAATAATGATCAATCCTTTTCCATATTTGAATAATGATTGAAGCAACTTCAAACAATGATCGAATAATCTTAAAATTGATTTTGAATACTGATTGAACAATGATGGATTCATTTTTAACTATGATAGATGTATGTTTAATCGTTATTCAATTATTGTTGGATGATATTTCAAACAACAATTGAACCATCCATGACTCATTTTATACCATGGTTGATTTATGCTTGATAATATTTCAATCATCATTGAATCATTATTCAAATATGATTCTATCCTTATTTGATGAAGTTCCTACAAGTGATTTGGGTTTTTGGTATATCCACCGAAATTCTCAGTTTGAGATTTAGTGTGCGAGCAAATTATTCGAATTCAAATAAATCAAATGAATAACACTACTAAATTTCTCAGATGACAAATGTAGAAAGACCATCACAGTGAAACAACGTCACAACTTAACACCCATGTTGGAATAAGAAAGCGCGAGGAGGCAATGTGACAAAAGAATGATGCGAGCTCCTATGATAAAAGTGTTGCATAATTGATCCACAAATGTTTCAACTATTTTGTAAACAATGAGAATATTTTGCTTTTCAACAAATTTTTTGAGAACAACAACAATAATAACCTTTATCTCACTAAGTAGGGTCGGATACATAAATCCATATTTTCTATTATGTGCTATTAAGTGTTATATTAACAAATCTTTAGAGTATATTTCTAAATAAATAAATAAATATGTTTTTTGCCTTATAAAGTCAAAATTCTCATAGAAGTTTTTTAGGCCTTAAATTCTCCCTTCACATACATTGTATCAGCCTTTGCATTTCCATCTTTGTATTCTGCAACCCGAAAAGAATGTAACAGAAGGGCATGTATCCAATTCCAAAAATTTTCCTTTGCCGCATTCTGTCCGCTTAGGGGAGAAAGAGGAAAGGGGAGGGGATGCTGAGTTCCTAACATTTTCGTCACAATCTTCGCTGCGACGATGTCTTCACAGGACGATGTACAACGGAAGAAAATCGCAACTTTTCTCCAGGCCCTTTGCGCAGCTAAGTATGTGCGGGAGGACAACGTTCCCTGTCAAATCGAGGAGGTAAGCTTGATTTGAATCTAATTTCTTTCTCCGTCTCTTTCTTTTGTTTTTTTTTCACGGAGTTTTCATCAACAAGGGCATAATAGATTCCACTTTTTCGGCGCAGGGGCTCTTCCTGGGGTCAGTGGGGGTGGCGTGCAACAAGGAAGCTTTGAAAAGTTTAAAGATCACGCATGTGCTGATTGTTGCCAACTCTCTCGAACCTGCCTTCCCAGATGATTTTATTTACAAGAAGATTGAAGGTGATCCATGTTTTTTCTTCTGTTTTTCTTACATCACTAGTCATAGCGGTTTTATATCTCTAAATTCTATAAATTAGGGCAGATGTCAACGAGTTATATCCTAAAGTTTACTTTGTTACATTTAAATTCAAACAAATTATGGACTTACTTGGCATGCATTGTCTTTAGAAATTAGTAAAGATGCAAGTGCATTTAGTTTGAAGTTTGTGATTGTATATTGGAAACACACATTAGATTTTCAAGATATATACTAATTTTGTATTAGGTTTATAAACTTGACTGATTTATATGTACATGCTTCTAGTTTAAAACTTGAGATGGCCGAATGGGATTTAATGGGTGAATAGTGATTGATGTCTTCTTTGTTAGGTAATATATGGAATTCGAGAAATTTTACAACTTGCTAAGTTGAAGATTGTTTGAAGTAGTTCAAGGCAATGCATAGTAAATGATAATCCTGTAAGTCCAACAATTAGCAATGGTTAGAGTCTTTATTTGTGATTCTTTATGCCAACTTGTGTCTCAGCGGGCTTAATTTTGATTTTCCTTTTTTGCTTTGGGTTCCAGGCTTCCGAAGGCAAGTGAGAAATTCTAGCAATTGTCTTTTGAGGGATTTAACTTATTTTCTATTTATATTATATGTTTCAAAATAAATTGAAGCCAGGTGGCATAATATATATATATACACACACACACACACACAAACTAACTCTGTATGTATGAATCAATTGAATATCTTAAGTGAGGTCAATGTTTTAGTAGGTTAAAGACCATGTAAAGGATGTGGTTGCTAGTTTGGTTTACTACAGAGAAGAAATTAATTAAAGTTATTTAAGAAAATATATTCATAATGTAGTGTTTTTCAGAGCAATTCTTAATGTTTTTAAATGATGATAAACTCTCCTTCAAAAGAAGAAGAAATTAATTAAAGTTATTTAAGAAAATATATTCATAATGTAGTATTTTTCAGCACAATTCTTAATGTTTTTAAATGATGATAAAATCTCCTTCAAAAGAAGTTAGCACGGACATGCCTATTTAATCATACAAATTCCGAGGTTATAGATTTTGTTAATTGGATTTATTGACTACAGTTCTTTGATAGCTATGATTAGTCGTAAAACTCATTGAGAATCTTATGCATTTTCTTGTTCATACTTGTTGGATTTTGAATTTCTGATCTAAATAAACACAATAAAACATAGTAATAATTTGATATTTTGAAAGAATAACAAGGTGGACCGTTAGCATGAAAACAAATTTTTTATATGATCGTGAATAAAGTCCGATTTTGCAATGAAAAAGTATAACTTTTATGTTAGAGCAATTAAATTTGGAGTTTGAAAAATTCTTACTTATCTCATATTTGAACTAAAATTAAAGTAACTCGAGTTTGGGTTGATACGGTTCTAATTATGTTGTTGTATTAGATTGGGTGTAGTTCTACTTGATAGTGATGAAAGCATAAGCTATGATTAGATTGACAACTTGTAGTGATGGCAATGTGCAACAAGTCAATGTTTGGAGATTAGAGATGACAATCCATGAGAAGGAATGTTGCAATCAATGCTTTGGTTGCAAAGTTGATTCGATGATGAGTAATCTTTCATAGTGGCAATGTTGGTTGAGGTGGTGAAGAATTGGAATAGGTTATAGAGCCATTATAGACGATAGACTCGGGATGGAAATGATCAGGGTTGAAAATTTGTTTGGGGATGATGATTGTTTTGGATTTGTAGCACCATTGATGATTCTGGTGAAGCGACAATGATTTAACTATGGTGTGTCAAATCAAGGGTGAGCTTGAAATAATTAGGGGATATGCTATCAGCCTGTTTGGATGGATTGGTTTATAGATTTGTCAAATTGAGTGAAACATAAATCTGAAATCCAAAAAATTGAATTGATTGAAAATTTTCTAAAATTGATTTAAATTATACCAAAATGTATTTTGCTTTAATTGTTTCAATTTTGAGCAAACAAAAATTATGTACTAGGCCTAAAATTATTAAAAATTAAGGTTTTACTTTAAACTAAGAAATTTTAGATCTCTTTATTGTCTTCTCAACTTCTTTCTCTCCCTTTAATGGATTGCTAGATTAACGAAATGAATCCTAAAAATATCTGAAAATTAAAAATCCAATATTAAAATTAAAAATCGAATTGTTTTTTCAAAACCAAACCGAATCAGCCTAATACGCTCAATTTGATCTAGTTTTTTTGGTTTTAACCAAATAATACACACCAAAGAATGCACATTAAGCATTTTGATGCAAGCAAACATCAATGAATCCAGAACTAGTATAGTAACCTCTGTTCAAGTAGGTCTTAATATATCTTGGTGTAAATTTTGAGAATTGTTTAGTTGCCCGATTCCTTAATTCATCTAAATCTATGGATTTTTTTGTAAGATTTCAAGATTATGGGGAGCTAAAAGATTTCATGAATATAATCTTAACTAGTTAAAATCTTCAATAATTAAGTTAATCTTTTAATCCATAAATGCAAATAGTATATGTTTCATGTAAGTGTACACGGTCCAAATATCAATCCCACAAGGAACTATATTATATCTTGGATTAGACCAAGTATTATTCTAATCAACTTTGAGTTTTATTCAATGATTGCAAGTTTAAGTGAGCAATTGAAAGTTTAAAAATGAAAAAGGACTATTTTCTCAGTTTTTTAGTTTTGATAGAAAATTCCTTTGAATTAGTAAATTGCTTAGGTTTAAAATCATCAAAATCATTACAAAATGTGCTGTCAATCGAGGACTAATCACTTCTTATTCTCTATTGAGATATTAAGAACCATTGGAGCTTCATGTTATGGTTTAGTTTTTTAAATCCTGCAAAAACTCCCAAGATTTTACAATTATACTTCCTTAGTAGCAACATTTATATTCTACCAAAGAAATGTATGTTTACCTAATCGTTCAAATAGTTTTCTTTCAAAAGCTTAGATCATGACCGGTTTTAACGAGCAATTGTTGTACAGTGAGTAAATAAAATTTGAAAAGTTAACACACCAACCCGATTCAGTAAATTCTACAAAGACAACTTGGATTAACTTTGAGACATAAACAAAACACTAATTCTAAGAAGATAAACCTAGTTATAAATCATTTTTATTAGTAGGAACAAGTGTTTACAAACCCAAATAAAAATATAAGAGAAGAAGGAAAGAAAGCACGTGGAATTAGATTCGCAAAAGATACTCTCGCTCATTTGATTTGCTCCTTCAATGATGCTCTCCTTCCTCCCCTTTTCTTTCACATAGGTCCTTACTAATTCACTCTTCTAACACACACTTTCACTCCACACTTTACTACACTCGCCTACAATCTTTAATGTTCTCCTTCTCTTCTAAACTCTCCTATTTATGAAGTTCCCTTTTAAATCACAAAAGAAATCGTTAAATTGGGAGGAAAACTATCTCTTGTTAGGAGGTAACGCCATGATGCCGTGATGCAGCGCCACAACGCTTCTATGAACGCAGTGGTGGTGGATTTTTGCTTAAGGGTGCCAAACTCTCGAGTTTTTGGATCATTCTCATGCAAGTTCTAGCGTCATAAGCATAGCGCTACGGTGTTGAAAGATTGGCGCTGAGGTGCTAAGCCCTCAGGTTTCTAGCCTCTTTTTTCACACATAGCGCTTACACATTATCTTCATAGCGCTGCAACGCTGATGCTCTAGCGTTGATGCACTATAAGTTTAACATTGAGACGCTACCTGCAATTTTCACTTGTATTTTAGTTGGCTTGTCCCTTTCCATTCCTATCATAAAATATAAACAAATACCACAAAAACATGAAATAGAAACAAAAAAAAAAAAAAAAAAAAAAAAAACGCTTAATTTTACATGTTTTCAACCACTTTGCATTTCTTAGTCTCTATCATTCGTGAAGTTTCACTTGATCCTTTAACTTGTATATCTTAGTAAAGAAAAAAAAAAGAAAAAAAAGAAAAAGAAAACTACAAGCATATCCTTAAAAACTATGTGATTCTATGCTAATATTAGAAATACTAAAACTATTATATTTATATTTGTTACCATAGTTTTAAGTACAACAAGTGTAACTATTTTAATTATTATGTATAATCATAATTAGGGGTGTAAACGAACCGAACACGAACGAACAAAACTTGTGTTCGTGTTTGGTTCGTTTAAAATTTAGTTTGTTTGAAATAAGCTCGTGTTCGTTTCTTAACGAACGAGCTGAACACGAACCGGACACGAGCTGTTCGCGAACGACGAGCCAGTTTGACATTCCTAATATTAATATATAAAAATAATATTATATATTAATTATATAACTTATATTATATAAATATATAATATCTATATTAGTATATTACTACTATAGTATATTAACATATTATTATTATTAATTTATTATATATTATAATTTATAAAATTTAATGTTTTAAAATATCACAAATTATATATATATAATTATTTTAAATTATTTTATATTTCAAACAATAACGATTCGAACACGAACGAACGCATCACTGTTCGTGTTTGGTTCGTTTAACAAACCGAACGAAAAAAATTTGTTCGCGTTCGTCTCGTTTACTTATCGAACGAATCAAACACGAACTCATTGACGAACCGAACACGAATTGTTCGCGAACAACGAGCTTTTTTGACAGCCCTAATCATAATCAATCAAGCAAGATCAGTATGGCAACATCAACATGGTGATATCAAAAGTATCACATTAATAATAATAGTATCAACAACATTATAGCTGTTAAGATGTCACCATCTAAACATAAAATAAAGGAGATAAGTGTCAAAATGGTTTTTAAGCTTTTTACAGTGAACTGTTTTAGTATTTATAGTTTATAAAAGTGTCAATTTAGTTCTCAAATTTTTTTAATGTAGGGTGATGTTGTCCTCAGACTCTTTATAGGGAGGAACTTTTTAGCCCTGGTAAAAAAATATATGAGGATTAATTTGACACTTTTATAGACTGTGATTAAAATGACTCAATG